AACCCAAAAAAACGCTAGTTTTAGTAGCCCGGAACGGGCTGTTCCAAAACTGAAACAGGCCGTTCCAATTTACAAAAAGTGCCTAAATCCCTAAACTGGAACGGGCCGTTCCAAAATCGGAACGGCCGTTCCAAAATTGGAACGGGCCATTCCAAGCTCTTTAAAGAAGGCTAAAACACACGTTTGGAACGGGCCATTCCCAGATTGGAACGGGCCGTTCCAAATAACAAAAAAAGGCTTGAATTTTTCATTTGAAACGGGCCGTTCCAGAATGACCTTTATGTGTTAAACGCGCCTCCGGAACGGGCCGTTCTGATTTTGGAACGGGCCATTCTGGACCCTGTCTGAAGCCTATAAATAGGAATCTCGGCCACATTTCTGAGTACCTCCAAAAATTTCGTCCAAAGCTCCATAGAGCTCGAAATTTCTCCCTTTTTTCTCTCTCTCTCCTATTGTACTTCTTGAGTTTTGTGAGGCATATTGTAGTGTGAAAGATTGCCACAAAGCACCTAAAACCTTCATAGTTGAAGATCCAATAAAGCTTGTTACGAGGTATTACTCATCAATCTCTTGTTTTATCTTTCTCTTCTTTTATTTTACATTGTTATAATATAAATAATCATGTAGATATTTTAGAGTCAATTGTTTAATTTAAATTTCAAGCATGTAAATAGTCATCAATAAAATGGGATTTAATATTTATATTATTATTATTTATAATGTTAAACTTCGTCATAGGGTACCGATTAAGGGCGTTGTAGGGGTGCTTAATACCTTCCCTACACGTAACCGACCCCCGAACCCAATTCTGGTTATCAAGGCCATTATTGGACTTTTAAAAACCTTTTCTTTTTCCAATGTTTTGAGTAAAATATTTGTGGCGACTCCATGAACCTATTTTCAAAACCATTAATTAAGGATTAGTCTGGTATCCGAGCATTCCTTAATTAATGAGACTTTTAAAAGGATATCTAAACCATTAACCGCAAGATCAGAAATTTTCGAGTTACGACATAATAGAGTCTCCAAGACTCATTACATCTAAATGTATTTCAGTATCTAATATTCAAGATAAATAATTCTTTCCTATAATGTTAAGAACAACAAATTCAAGTTTCGCAATATTTAACATGTTCAGTACTATCATAAAAAAGAGACAAAATTAGGAAAGAAAAAAAATCATAAATAACCATAATTATTAGTTATTAATAGTACTTTAATAATAGAATCAAATTATCTCTAATTTAATATATATTATCACATACAAAATAAATAAAATATATGATAAATATATATATATATATATTGATATGACATAAAAAAATTATTATAAAATATTTAAATTAATAACATGAATAGATTATTATTATTAGACAGAGTAAATGTATATAATATATAAAATATATCATGTCAATAAAACATAAATATTTTTCACTTTTGATAAAAAATTAATAAAATAATAAAAGTTGAACATTCTTCTTTGATAATGTCTTCTATACATTTTAAAAATGTACGAAAAATTTCTATTTCATTCTATCTTCAAAATTACTATAATGTCTTCAGGATTACTTTGATTTATAATAATATAAATAATATAAATATTTGATAAAAATTTTATTATAAAAAATATTTGTCTTGAAAAATAGGACCTTCTTAAAAAAGAAAAAAAAAATCTTCACAATTTTCTCTTGTAATTGCAAGACCAATAAATAAAAGACTATCATGTTGATAACGTGTTATAAAAAAGATAATTAAAGAGAGTAAGAAGACAATATACTTTCCTACTTTCCCAAAGATTATACACTAATCAGATTATTTTCTCTATCTCTATCTCATATTATCTTCTTTGCTCTCTCTATTTATTTTTCTTTATAAGAACATCACATTTATTATATTCAGTTCAGCTACACTGAGATGGAACCAGTTGAATTATATAAGAACCAATCAACGGTCAGCTTTTTTAAATTAATAAAAATGTGACTTCAAAGGCCACAGACAGGACCTTAAACAAGCCAACCTTTAAGATTACTCCGTATACTTACTCACCCCTACATTTATTGACGAAATACTATTTATATCCTCATATTTGGAGGACCAATTTTGACAGTTTGAAAATGATTTCGGAACAGGAAGATTAGGCAAATTTCAGTGATTAGAGATTAAGAGTTCGGTTAAAAATATATTAAAAAAAAGGGCATGAAGAAGAACAATGCATTATTCATATTGCATCACGAAATTGCATGACCAGTTAAACACAGACACACACACAACGACATGAAATGAAGAAACAACAAAGAGTAGTCATTGACACCTTTGAACTAAAATTGAAAGTTAAAGAAAAGTGGTATATATATAGTATATTATATAATAATGTCACTATTTCTTAGGGTGAGTGTCTTCAGGGTTTGCAACTCCAACAGAAACCTTGGCAACATCCTTAGCACTAGCCTCAGGCTTCTTCTTGGAGTATAAGACTGTGTATCCCACTGCAGCAGTAATAAGCAAACCTGCTATGGTCATGGTAGTGAAGTTGTAAGGAAGTGATTTTCTCTGATGAAGTACTTCGGTGGCTCCATGGCCTGGGGGTCTCTTTGAGGCTTCGGCTTGTGCTTTTTCTGGATCCATTTTCTTCCACTCTTCTTTTCCTTCACCCATGACTTTCTCTTTTCTTTCTCTATATGTGAAATATTACTATTATTATCACATAAACGATTACTCCTGCATGCATCGAATAAACCATGAAGATGTTGTTGGCCACGTATCACCCCAACATGGCTATCTTCTCAACACGTATGCCTACGCGTCATTGAAGGGGCCACGTGTGCTTCCACGAATTGAAAACGCAAGCTATACCTAGTTGGTGCACACCTCATGCATGCATGCATGTTACCATGCACTTTTCAATTGGGAAATTGTTTATTATATATATACTGTTGTATATAAGAGGTTGTTTGTATATACTTTATAAGTATTTTTTAAAAAAAAAATTCTAGCCAAAAGTAGGTTTTTGTAGAGGTAACACATGTACTTAATTTTCTTGTATTTCGAGATGGTTTTGAGTGCTGTTTATTATATGGCAGCAAATCATTTTTGCAAGTCTTCGACTTGTTCTGATCACATCTCGTGGTCTTAATTATCAAGTTTTGTGGTTATAAAATTTGTTTTGCCTTTAAAAAGAAAAAAAAATAGATGTTTTGTTTAGATGTAGGAAAAGTTACAATCAAAATTTATGTAAATGTAAGAATAATCAGCATTCTTAGGAAGAAAATTATTAGTACGTGATTGTTTTTTCATTCATAGTACTGAAATATTTAAGACTATTTAAAGAAAGTCAAATCTTTATTTTATGCAATTTCGATCCGTTAATTCAAAGAAATTATAAATAAATAAAAATTGTATAGTGAATTAAAATTTTCATGCTATTATTGTTGAAAAAAAATTCTATTAGATCCGATGTCGCTTTGATTTTAGATAAAGAAATCTCGTTTAAATTTAAATAATTTTGTCGTCATTATTGGACGACAAAGCAATCAAGAATCTGTTTGGAGTATCAAAGTGAATTAATACAATCCACTTTTGGTGAGAAAAAAAAAAAAAAAAACCTAAGTCAATCATAAATAGGTGAGAGTTAATTGAGTTGTCTTAACAAAATAAATATATAAAAAAAATTAAAAATAGAAAATAAATATTTTTAATTAGAACACATATTATAGGATCGATTTGTTTGAATTTAAAAAGAATATTGTTAAAAACTAATTTTTTTAAAAAAAAAACTTTGAATTACTTTTAAAAAGCCAAAACTATAAGTACTTAAAAAAACAATTTAAATGAGTGCATTAAAAATAATAAAATTGTTTATTTTATTAAAAAACTTATTTTTAAAAAAACGACCGTAAGTTATTAAATTTATTGCAAGTCTCTCGTAATGTAAGTAAAGTCATAGGATTCGACCAAATCAAAGAGTTTCTAGAAACATCGAAGCAGAATGCATCATCATGCTTCGTACAAAGAGTGATACATACGTATAAAACCAATTCGTATTCCTTTTCTTTCTACAATTTTTGCACTCAAATACCGTATACTATTCCTCTGACATGGTTTTTGACCGTTACTATTCACACAACAAAACAAAAATGAGTGGTCCATACATGATGTTGCTGTTCCCAATGACACCAAACGGCTAGTTTCTCCTCAACACAACCTTAAATACAGCACTCTAACACTTCAACTCCAACAGACTTACTTCACTCTCACCTTTCTTATTCTCTTCCCTTTTCTCTCTCTATAACGTTGAGATTCAAAGGAAATAATGGGTGCCTCATCAAAAGTTTCTATTTTGGTTGTCTTCCTCCTCTTTGGGTTCTCAGTAGCTAAGGAAATATTGGTTGGAGGCAAGACAGATGCATGGAAGATTCCATCCTCTCAATCAGACTCACTAAACCAATGGGCAGAAAGATCTCGTTTCCAAGTTGGCGATTATCTTGGTAACTTCATTTCCCAAATTCTTTTTTTTAAAAAAAAAAGTTTATATGCAACTTTTTACCTCGATTGATGCAACATATATTGTAAATATTGCTAGTGTATATTCTCAATTAAAATTAATATTTGCATAAAATGTGTTTTATATAAAGTGAGGAATGAGAAATGATGGTCACACACTCTCCTGCTCAGAAAGTTTTTATCTAAAACTACAACAAAATTATACAGCTCAGAAGGTTTTAATTGAAAACTATAATACAATTATAAGAATGTGTAAATATATTTTTTAAGTAACTTTAGTACTTTTGCTTCATTAATCACTAGTTTGCATTTCTGTTTTTTTATTATTGATAGAAATATCACAAGTTTTTTTGAGTCCTGCTCACTAAATCATGAAAGAGTGCTTCAATGAATTGTGAGGTTCACAAAATTTGTAATTTATTAGTGTAAAAGAGTGTTAGAAAAAGAGTGTTGCCGGTATTTTTTCTATGAGAAATTCTTAATGACTATAACTTGACATGTTCATGAATTTTTGTGCCCAGTTTGGAAATATGATGGTGGGAAAGATTCAGTTTTGGAAGTGAGCAGAGAGGATTATGTCAACTGCAGCGTCTCTAAGCCAATAAAAGAGTACAGTGATGGAACCACTAAGGTGGAGCTTGACCGTCCTGGGGCATTCTACTTCATAAGTGGGGCAAAGGGTCACTGTGAGAAGGGTCAGAAGCTAGTTGTGGTGGTTTTGAGTCCAAGGGGGGGAGGAAGGTACACTGGTGTTACTTCACCAGCACCTGCACCTGCACCTTCTGCTGCTGAGTTTGAAGGTCCTGCTATTGCTCCTACTAGCAGTGCCACTGCTTTGCACGGAGGCATTGTGATGGCTCTGGGAGTAGTAGCTGTGTGGGGGTTTTCAATGTGAATTGGTTGATTTTGTTGGATGTTGTTGTTTAGCATGGTGTATGAGACTGTCACAGTGAGGTGATTGTCGGTGTTATTTTTTGTAGGGAATATGATTCATTTTTTAAATATAGATTTTATGTTATGGCTGCCCGTTTCCAATTTCCAGTGTCTTCTTGAATTATACAGTATTGTGCCAACACAAATTGTGAAAATATACTCCACTTGTCTAGCTGGAGTACATTTAATAGTTAATGGTATTCTTCAATTAAAATTAGAGTCGATGAAAATTGATGTCTAAACATATATACTCGACATATACACATTGATAACCAAAGCAAAAAGTGGAGTATACATTATATTAAAAAATTGGCAGATTATTAAGATGATTGCTATCTAATTTTGTGGGAAATGTATTTTTCAAGCGATGAAGGGAGACCTGTGTAGAAAAGTTCCAAAACTAAAGCTTGGTTTCATTTTTATGGTCCTTGTAAAATTTAGAACACTTTAGTAGCTTTAAAAAACTAAAGCTTGTTTTAAATAGCGTAAAAATATTAATGAGGGGGCATTTCAAGATTTAGAACACTTCATTTTGAAACTTCTAAAAGCCATGAGATTTTTAACCAACATTTGAAACTTCTGATTACAAAAAAAAATTAAAATAAAAATAAAAATGAAAAAGTTGCCAGAAAATAATGCAATAAAGTCACTTTTGTCGAGGTTATTGTGACAAGATACCGGCGACTTGAAGATAACAAAACTTTGTCAATTATTGTGACAAGATACCGGCGACTTGAAGATAGCAAAACTTTGTCAATTATTTAGGACAATTTAAAAATTTGTGCTAATGATGTCAATAAGCAAATGACAAACCTCATAAAAAAATATAATTAAAAAAAAAAACACAATCACTTGTTGCAGAATATATGCTAAAATGACATAGCAAACTACTAAACAAACATAATATGAACTTGGACTTGTGCTTTTATAACCAAATCAAAGTTTTGAGAGTCTTATGCATATTTGACCAACCTAAGCACCAGATCAGTTGCCAGCATTCTAGTTAAAATTACAAAATGTGATCGACTTGAGCAACAAGCTGGTGAATGGATATGAAGCCATGTACATAATTGAAAGCATAAATCTAACTTCAAAACATTACTTAGCATAGTTGCCCAAGCCAAAAAAATTTCGCTGCCGCAAACAATGTTAACTAGTTAACTGTTAAGCACAAATGGGATGATAAGTCAAGTAGAGAATTAAAATAGAGATTGCAACTATACATGCACACATGCAGTGCACCTCGGATAGTTGACAGGTAAAAACATGTTGGTATGCAACCCACTTGCCATTGGAAATAGGAGAACAGTATTGGGAGTGCAAGTCACCAAGAATTGATGAGAAACTTATCCAAAAACATTGAATAGCAGCAGCAAGGACTAAGCAATGTAACCCTCCCATGAACACAGCTCCATGTTAGTCACATATACTGCAAAAATAAAATTCCAAAGCAAAAATCACAGGCAGAATAAAAAGATTAAACCATAATAAAACAAGACCTTAATTTTCTTGAATTCTGCAAATTCTGGTAAACCAAACATTTACATAAAAACAATTTAATCTGTTGCACGCTAGGGCTGTAATAACAATAAGCTCTCCAAGATAGTTTGTGACAACAGCTTACAACTTGTATAAAAACAATATAACCCTATTCTCCCTTTAATTATAAAAACAACTTACACATAAGTGCTCATGTATCAAGTATTTATTCAATAAGACCCTAAAAGGCCCTATATGTATTGGATTACTAATAGTATTTGAGTTATACGACCAGAATAACTACACTTTCGAAGAGTGATCCTCAATCCAAAGTTTCAATATAAAATTGGAAGAAATTTACTATTGTGGTGGTTGGATCGTTCTCTTCATTACAAATTGACATATTTCCCCCCTTGAGAACTAAAACAACCTTTGGAGTAGGCTTCATGCCAGACCAAGGATTCAGTATTCTATTAGGATCAGACAAAGACTGAAAGCTCTTCAGCTTTTCATTCTGTTTCAAATTCAAAATCTAGCCTAATCCTGTGTATCCAGTCAGCAACTCCTGCTGTATGTTTTGTTAGTGGGAAATGGAGGGAGGGAGAGAAATTTTAATGAAATTCTCGTTTGGTTTAAAAGCAATGAATGAAAGGCAAGAAGAATTTTAGTTTCCTCTGGTTAAAAAAATCATGGTGATAGTACCAGACTGATTTTTAATTGCATAAAACCACAAACTGTCATTTCACATCCCAGAATCACACACTTTTGAGTTTTAACTCAGATTCTTCAAATTGTGCAGAATCACAAGAACACAAGAAAAACAAATTAACATTATTAGAAAAGGTGAAATAAATGAGAGAGATTTCTGGAAAGAGCATTCTCTAATGAAAAATATTCATTCAACAATAATCTGGATACAAAGAGAGACAGCTATATGTAGCTGACTGGATGACTCAGTGAAGATACATCATAAAAGAGATTTGTAACAAACTAATTCTTACACTAATTATTACAAAAGCAGCTAACTTCTAATCAGAACAACCAACTCCTAACAGAACATATGAAATGCTAATTACATTGAAATGAAACTTAGCTATATCTCCAATAAGCATCAAATAAAATAACGTAGAATGTGAATTAGTCAAATTTCCCCCACTAATGAACTGCAATTTATCATCAGAGAAAGAAGCATGATGAATTCCTAAAATTGTCTTTTTTTTCAGTAATAAACTCAAAATATTTTGTTTATTGCAGTTTAATGGTACATCAATACAAGATCAAATAAAGGCTTGGATTACTCATGAATAAAAAAACCAAAATATTAATTGAATGAATAAATTCTATTCATATTTTGCTTTTCTTCAGAAGCATAGACAAATAACTATACTTGAATATGAAAAATATACCCAATTTGCTTCAAAACCAGCTAAGAAATGGGGGCTCTTCATGTATAAATACCAGGAACCATCTTCCCTTCAGTCACATGAATTGTGCTTAGTTGTGGATCATAGAAGAATCTCCAAATTAACATATTCTCTAACACAGTCTTCTTGACACACATTTTCATTGGTTAGAATTTATTAAAAACTACAAAATCAGGAGAGAGGGAGAGAGGGCGAGAGAGTCATTAAATAAGGTGTGAGACCCATCAGATTTTGTGTTTTGCAATAAAATTTAACCAATCAAAAAGAGTATGTTTAAAAATGTGGCAGAGAGTATGTTACTAGCATTACTCATCTCCAAATATATAGAGATAGAAACCCTAGTTGCAAGCACTGAGGAAACTATTTTATCAAATTTAGCTAGAACTTAATGACTGGTTGTAGTTACAAATCAAATACTGAACATTTTTTCAGCTTCACATTCAAATTTCACACAATCTATGGTTTTGACTCCATTGCTCTACTTTACAAGTAAAAGATTATCAAAATGATGCCATAAAACCCTCATAGACTCCTTTATCAGCCTCAAGATAACACCTTGGTTAACAGTTTTGAATTGTGCCAATGAATCCACCACGGAGGTTGTTAGCAGTTTTACAGGACAGAGGTTGTTTATGTACAATTAGTAATTGCTCATAAGATTATATTTGGTTAAAATGGCTCACTCCCTAATTTGGGACTTATGTCTGCCTGAGGCAGGTCCTTAAATTTTACTACTAATGCATTATTGACAATATCAATAAAACATTTAGCTCATGACAGATTCTATGTTAAGTGACTACAGTAAAGGGCATGTGATATTGGAAGGCCAACAAACCATGACTTTATCGGAGAGGAATTACTTTTGTAAAATCAAACTAAATTATTAAATTTTACCAATACAAAACAAGTAACAATTGTACTGCCTTCAATAATAAGGAAGATAGTAAAAATAAAATAAAAAATCCATAAGTTCTATGTAGCCGTCTTTGTTTTGTTCTTTTCAGACTTCATTAAAAATCCTTTGTCCATGAGATGAGTGGTTAATAGCTTAGATATTTCATTCATTTACAGGTTTAAGTCCACGATTTGATCCACATAAAGACATTTGAATTTTGAAAGATAAACCTACAACTACAACTATTAAATAGCAATGAAAATAGTAAAATGTTTCCATTCGGTCACTCCAATAATTAACTGCAATAAATAAATATTTCCAGCTTTTGTTCAAATATAGTGGATTCAGTGATGCATATTTGAACTAGCAAAGATCCCCTAACATGTGTTGGATCAAAATTCATCGTTCTACCGACAGAAAGTAATTCTTAACACCCTAAATTATAAATCACAATACAGTAACTTGACTAAGAATACACAAAATTTGGGAGACAACAATTTCATAAAGTAAACAAGGACATCACAGAAAACTCTACCAGAATTCGGGAAAACTAAGGGGCAAGTAGCTCGTCTTCATCATCATCTGAAATGTCAATCACTATTGCTCTCTTAACATTTCCATTATTATCACCAAGTTCCTCCTTTTCTTTGTTGAGAGACTCCATGGCATCAATTTGAACAAACTGTTCTTCAGAAGATGAATACTTCCTCTTTTGACCAGCCCGTTCCTGATAGTTCATATCTGGTCCCTCCCCTCCACTTATGTTGCCCAAGTCGTCTTGCTTCTGTGCTGCAAGAAACAACCAGTTCTTCACAGACACACACGAGATTCAAAATAAAGACACACATAAGGCAAGATAAAGTGGAGGAGTGCTAACAGCATACCCCTTGTAAGTGAAACTCATTACCATTGGTTAAAATTCATTTAAAACTACAAAATCACAAGTGAAACTCATTAAACAAGGAGTGAGACAGTGTTTTAAATTGCAGACCGCAATACCTGTTGGCCACAGTGAGACCTACATGATTTTACAACACAAAATAAATTCCAGCCAATATTAAAGAATGTAGAGTGTGTTAAAATGTAAGTTATTAGCAATTCTATCAGGGATCTAGCTCAGTTGGTTGAGTAAGGTGCATGAGTTGTTATAAACTCTGTTGTTACCGATTCCCACAAATAAAAAAAAAAGGACAAAACTTTCTTCAATCAAAGTTAGAGTTTCTTCTTGATAATATGCACTTTCATTTAATACAAACCTCAATAATATATAATACTTATGCATATTACCAAGGTGAATCTCCAACTTTGATTGAAAAACAACACCAAAAATACCTTTGCTATAAAAATAATGAACCTGAGTTTTGTAAAATTAAAAAAAAATACAAAAAAAAAAAACACACACACACACAATTCTATAGAGTGTTCAACAATTAGGGAATTCAAAATCTAAGTCATCCAATCGATTTCCAAAATCAGAAAAGTAGAACAAAGAAAATAACCTTGCAAACAAAACCTTAAAATACCCAAAAGAAAGACATGTCCTCACAACAATGCAGCATGGACCACGCATTCTCAACTATACAACTCAACAAAATGGCTAGAACCACGTGAATTACCTTCACTCAATCGGGGAAATCGTTCCAGTTTCTTCTGTAACACGTTTATCTTGTCCTGGGGGAACAACACACAAGCAACAAGTTCAACCAAGCTACACAACACCCATCACCAAAGATGAAAACTTGAAAAAGAAAAGCCCAATGCAACACAATCTAAAGCACGCCCAGAAGACCCATTAAGGACTTACAAGCTCTGATTTGACGGGATGGCCATTTGGGTTGACCCCTCTGCACCTCAACTTCACTGAACACAAGAGAAAAGAAAAAACTGAATTGAAGCGGAAGAACTGTATTATTAAAAAAGGTGCGACTTTTTTTGAGGGAAGAAAGGTGCAGACATGAGAAGAGGGTTGAAGTGAGTTTGGCGAGGTAGAAGAGTGAGTGAGCGCGTTGAACGAGTGGCAACTCAGCGAGGAGTTCAGGGTCAGAGAGAGAGAGAAATTGGGGTAACTGAGTTTCAAGTTGTTGAAGGCTCTCCAAAGTACTCCTGAGAGTATCTGTGACGGCTTCAGGTACTTCAATGCCTTCCATTTCGCTTCCTTTCCCCATTTTCTCTCTCTAACAACGTCACCGATCACAAATACAATTCATCATGCCAATTTTTATTTATAGGACTCAAATTAAAATTTTCGGATTCAATTTCACTCTTTAAATTAAAATATTAATTTTAAAATTAAAATTGATATTTTTCTTTTGTGAATTACGTTTAAATTAAGTACGTGTTTGAATTTTTGTTGATAATTCACATATTAACAATTTTTTAGGTCAAAACACATCAAAAATAATAAATAATTATTTCACTAATCCACGTTTAAAGTTTGTAAATGAGAATTTAAACACGCATTAAATTATAAAGTTGTGAAGAGTAAAACTGAACTCAAACGTTAAGTGTTACATAAAAAAGATATGTATATATAATTAAAAGTTCATAAAAAAATAATTAACTATATTTTATCAATAATATTGTTATTTAACAAAAATTAAATTATAATTAAGTCAAATTAAAAATGTTTACATTTAACTTATATTTAAAATTTAAACCTTCTGGTTCGTCATGATTAATTATATAAAATATTAGTTTTTTTTTTCTGAAAATATATAAAATATTAAAATATAAAATAAATCATCCAGACTAATTTTAGATAATATATGTAAAGTTATAAATTCTAACATTATCATTAATCTCACCATTGCACAACAACTAAAAATTAACCAAATTGAACTATAAATATCTCTATAATGTAAATGTGATTAAATTCCGGGTTTCTAGACTGGTCCTGAAAGGTGCAGGTTAGATTTGTGACATTAATACAGGTTTGGCCAAACACCGAGTTTAGGCTTTGAATTATAATGAAGTTCGTTTATAACTATAGTATAAGAATATATTTAGTTTCACATTAAATATGTTAGAGAATTAATTTCATTGTATTTAAAATCATGTTTATATATAATTATATGTTAATTATTAGTAAAATTGATTTAATAAATAAAAATTCACATTTATTTTGAAACAATTAGTATTAGTTTCTTTATCAAATAAAATTAATTATAAAATTTTATTTATTTAAATTTATAATTATACATTCAAAATTAATTTTAATAATAAATTTTTAAACAATATTTAATATAAAATCAAGTTTATTTTCTTTATTGTCTAAATGAAAATCACTTTATTTTGAATTTATATTTATTTAAAATCAATTATATAAATTCACGCCGATTCTAAATTAATTTATTAACATATTTTTAAATATATGTTAAGTTTTTTACCATAAAATAAAATATAAAAACTCTCTTATAAAGATATTATATTGTATATTCTTGAAATTATTATAGATTTTAATTTACGAATTTTTGCTTTGAAGTTGTACAACAATTCCACATATAAACAATATCATTGTATTATGTTATGTGTCTTATCTCATAAGTGATAGAGTACAATACAAGTGAGAAGGCTCTAAACACGCTGATCCTACATTCTCATTCATAAATGTAGAAGTATTATTTTCTTTTCTATTTTTCTTATAGTGTGTTTGGATGAGAAATTTTACAAATTTAAGAAATTTTAAATTTTTGGTATTTGAATTACTTTGATTTTAATTTCTATCATTCTTAAAATATTTTGTTTGGATGAATCAATTCAAATTTCTTAAATTTTAAATTGTTAGGTTGAATATAATAATTTGATTCCATCATAGTAAAATTGATTTTAAAAATATATTTATATATTGAAATTTTTAAATTAAATTTTATAAAAATAAATATTAATCAATTTTTAAATATTTAATAATTTTAAAAATTAATATTAGATAATATTTAATAATTTTAAAAATATTTTTGAATATCCAATAATTAAAAGAATGAAGAGGTAAGATAAAATATATAGGTGAAATAAGAAAAACAAATATGAGAAATTTCAAATTCTCTCATTTTTAGGAGAATTTGAAATTTTACTATTTTAAGAAATTTTACAAATGCTTGGATTTCAAATTCTTTGTAAATTCCTCGTCCAAACAAAGCATTTCACCTCAAGAAATTTGAAATTTTTTAAATAAATGAATTATCCTATATAAATTCCTCATCCAAACACACCATTAAAAATTTTATAAAAGTATTTCTAAAGTAACCTTAGAATCCTCATTTCTTATTAGATGCTGATATTGCTGGAGGATCTGGAAAAAAAAAATTGTTAATAAAATTCACTATAAAATTTTCTTTATTATTCATAAACATTTATTAAAGATAAAAATTAATATATTTTAAAGAGACAAATTTATTAAATGAAAAAAAAATTTGAAATTTTTATAATTTTTAATAAATAATAATTAATAATAAAATGACAGTAAAATTTAAATGTAATACTATAAATATTGTTGGTTAAAGATAAAAATAAATCAAACCTTAAACAAAAGATCAATGACCTAATTAGTCTAATCTATTTAATATAAATGTTGAATTTAAATTTAAAAAAATGCATTTATTTAAAAAAATTTAAACTTATGTTTATAAAAAAATTTGTTAGAAACGATAAATCAACTTATTTATATATATATACTCCATATATATATATATATAACTTTATTAATGATATAATTAAATAAATAAATCTATAATAAAATATCAAATTTGAAATATCTTTTATATTTTAAATACACTTTAAAGTTTTATATTCTTTGTTCATATGAAATAAAAAGTAAAATTTTAATAGTTACATCTTTATTTGCTATTTTCTCTCATTTTTATGATTAATTATTTAAAATACTTCAAATGAGATATATGAAATATTTAAAAATCCTTTTTTTAATATGAGATTGTTTTCTTTCATTTCATCACAATTGTACATGAGTGTACGTAAGAATATAAGTGAATACAAGTAATCTACAAGTTTAAACTATCAAATAACAGGTATTGTATTTTTTATGATCCAATCATATACTATTATAAGTTAGTGTAATCATTTTTTCAAAACAATACTCTTTGTTACTCTTGTTCAATAACGAGTATTATGTTTTTGGGTTGATAGTATTGTAACAATACAACATATTTATTTTAAATTTTATTGTATATTAATGTTGGTTGTTTGAACCAATAATAATATAGCAAATCAATAAATTTATTTTAAAATTTAGTTTGTATAACTATTTACTTTATCGGTTAATAACATTGCATTTGTAAAAAAAATATTAAATGTTTTACATCTCTTATAAAATAAATTTTTATAAAATAAATAAATAAATTTAATTATGTTAACTCAATTGATCCAATCTAATCCAACTCGTTTGTGATCGGGTTGAGTTAGATTGGATTTTAAAAAAATACACTAATCTGACCTAACTTAACCAGTTGAATTTTGATTGAGTCGGCTAATAAATTGATCCAAATCCAACCTACTTCCACTCTTAAGTATGTTAATATGCATGAGTTGTCTCTTTTATGTTAGATTTTTATTTTTATTTTAAGTTTTAAATTTTAATAATAATAATAATAATAATAATAAAGTAATCTTACAAACCAACACAAGACTTTTTAATATATTTTGTCCTTACTCGCACATCTTTTAAGAAACTTGTAAAACTTCACATAACTCTTTATTGGTCAGAATCTTTCGTCAGTCAAAACTCTCATGACAACCCTTTCTCGTATGTCCATCCACCTCTAAGACTAAGGTTTAGGGTTTAGGGTTTAAACCAATACAACAAACTTTCTAGGAAACTTTCTAAAAGATCACTAATTCCTATAAATTGCTCTAAGTCAAGCTCACTTAACTGTGAAGTTCTTTTGTGATGAGTTAGTGAAAAGTAAATGCATCTTGTTAATATAGATAATACAAATTAATTCTTTTAAATCATTACCATACAATTTTTAGATCTATCTCATTCTGATGTGTCGAGAGTGTTACATGAGATGATTGTATATGATTACAAATCAAAAGTAAAAAATATAAACTTCACTAATTTTTATTTTGGTAAAATAACTAATATTTTAAGAATTGATAATTTGGAAAGGAAGAAAAAAGACTAAGTTTGAAAATCTGATAGTATATGCTGTCAAAAAATCTAATCATATATAAGAAAAGTTAAAAAAAATAATTTAAATAATCATAAAAACATTTTATACATTGATTTAAATTTATATAAAGAAATATTGTATAATTTTTAATAATTTATAGGCTTAATTTATCTACATAAGAAATAAAGACATTGTGAGAATAGAGAATGTAGTATGAATGTGAATAATCTGATTTTGATAGTTGATAACTCGACAAGAAGTAAGTTTGAAACTTCACTTTCTACTTACTTGCGATAATAATTTAGTTAACCTACAAAGTTTATTAGGATCTTGAAGACCAAATCATTGAAGAATACCCATGTACACCTCCTCAATAAGATGAACATAAAGAAATCCGTTATGACGTCTAATTGATGCAAAAACAATATGGGCAGCAGTTAAAGCAATAACAAGGCGCACAGTGATTAACTTGACAACAGGACAGAAGGTTTCAAAGTAAGCAACACTTTCTTGTTGAAATGAGCCTTAAAACGTTGAATGTTGCCATCAGATTTTCTATTAAGTGTGTATACACATTTGCAACCTATCAGCCGTTTTCTAGGAGGAAGATCAGTGATAACCCATGATTGGTTTTGTTCCAAAGCAGCAATTTCCTAGTCCATAACAGTTCTCCATCATTCATCTTTAACTATTTGACCATATGACTTCCTTTAAGGTATAACAAAAAGTGACTACATAAAATACTTATAATTATTAGATAAATGATCATATGAAACAAATTTTGAAATGGGATAACCTGAAAATGATATGACATTTTGTTGAGAAGGAAGGTAACAATGTTAATCTCGCTTAAGTGGATTTCTAATTCTTTGGGAGGAAGATGTGGCCACAGTAGAAGGTAAGAGAGAAAGGGAAGTTGGCGGTAAATGGTGATCAATAGAAAAATCAGTTTCTCCATTATTTGTTGGTAATGAAAGAGAAGGAAGGTTATCAAGATTTAAATTTGGATTAAAAGTGTAGAAGGGAAAAATATTTTGATGTAGACCTTACTCACATTCAGCTAAATATATTCTTTGCAATTCTCATAACTTCTTTTAACTTATATTCAATCTATTTTTCCTATAATGTGTAGTTAGCACAATTCTAGATATCTCATTTGTTCTTAAATAAAAGAACAAAAGTATTTTTTCATCTTTCATTCATTTGAAATTTTATTATATCTCATAATCTCATTAAATAATTTAGTGACTTAAATGATATTCTCTCTAATTTTTTTCCAATCTTTATTATAAAGTATAATTTAGACAAAAATATTCATTTTTATATGTTTTATGCTTTTTATAAAATATTAATTTTATTTTTCATCTTTTTTTCTCGTTAAAAGATTGTAAGAATGTGTTTCTTATTATTGGATAATTAAAAAAGAATTTAAAAAATAAATATGCTTTCCAACTTTTATATTCTCTAATTATTATTTATCGATTTTATTCATATTAGTGTTTCAGTTTTAATATTGAATAATATCTCCCATTTTTTGTTTGACGATGAGTATTGGTACATTATTTATTTTATTTTATAAATTTAATATAATTAACTAATATAACTACTTATATTAATATAAGTAATTTAATTAAAAATATTTTATAATAAAGAGAGAAAAAAAACTACCTTGTTTTTTTTATATACTTAACTTCAATTGAAATATGGCATGTTTAAAATTTCATCCAGTGAAACGAAGCGTCAATTCACCTCCCTTTCTACATTTGCTGCTTTAAAATGTGAGATTTTACGTTTTAAAGGTTCCAAATGAACTTCCAAGCACACCGTTAGTCATTTTCCTCTCCCATCTGAATTTTATTCTGGTAATTCAAATTCTGTTCATCTTCTTGGACTTCTAATCCTTTCATATTACAAGTCAATCGTAATCCATCATTAAAAAAACTCACTGACACTTTTTCTCGTCTCATTCCCAACATTTCAATACCTTGTCTAATTTTTAGCATTATTGCATTCACCTGGATTCTGATTAGAAGAGAAAGACTCATTCCTAACATTTCAATACCTTGTCTAATTTTTAGCATTATTGCATTCACCTGGATTCTGATTAGAAGAGAAAGACGGACCTTCTAAAAGTGGGTCAATTCAATACCAAATGGCAATTACATCAAGTCAAAACATTTTATAATGGTGAATTTAAATATCAGCTCCAAGGCGAAATTAAATAACGTTTTCTGGATTGAACAGAAAAACATCTTTTGCCATGTATTAAAGTTGAAAAGACTCGATATTTGAGCAACTAACTGCTGGGATATTCTTTTATCAAGGAGCAATCCTAAGTGGGTCACGAGGAAAAAGTGATGTCTTGCGAATGTTATTCAGACCGCAGAAGAGCATTACAACACGCTCCAAGCCTACTCCAAAGCCACCATGTGGCGGTGCACCATATCTGGAAATGGTCAAAATCAAGCAATTAGTTTTTCATAGACAATTTTTTACATTGAAAAAGCTAAGTAGGAGGAGGCACAAACACATAACATAAGCAAGAGGAAGAGGAGAAAACTAATACCTAAAAGAATCAATGTATGTAGATATTGTCTTGACATCAATGCCGCAAGCTGCTGCACGTTGTTCCAAAAATTCTGGCACATGAACACGCTGAGCTCCTGAAATTATCTCCTCGCCTAAGGAACAAGGAACCAACAGAAGTTTAAATCACAGTAACAGAAACCCCCAACCTTCTGTATAAATACATATGATATAAATTCAAGAAAGCATGCAGTTAAACCAGACATTCTCAGTCAATTACACTAGACTGTCATACAAATGATTGGTATGACAGAATAACTTATTGTCTACCTCTAATAAAGACATCAAACGAGTTGCTGTATGCTGGATTGTCATAGCAAGGCATTGTATAAAATGGCCTTACAGCCAAAGGATAACGATGAAGGATGTAGAACTCCGTGCCATACCTAAATACAATAACAAACTAGCTTTAATAACAGACTATGATGCACCCATACGATACGCGTATCGGATACGACACGTATCCGATACGGCGATACGATTATTTAAAAATATATAAGATACGATACTTGTAAGATACGTGTCATTATATGTATTAATGTTCATACAATATAATAAATGTGTACTTGTAATTTTGATCAAAATTCGTAAATATTAAATATATAATTGCTATTTTGCAAATCCAAATTAAAAACATACTTATTGTACACTACTAAAAGTAAATAAATTATAAATCATTTCATCATAAATTACTTTTTATTATTTACAAATAGAAATAATATTACCAATATCATTCCTTTCTTGAAATTATCTATATAGAAGACAATTTTCATTTACAGTTCATCAAGGACCAATAGTTCTATGTTTCTATATTAAACATGCTTATATATCTTATTTAGCTGTAATGGATATTTCATAATTTTTTAAAAATTTGAACACTTTATTGATATGTATCACTAATAAGTATCAGTGAAGTATCTGAAAGTATCAAAATTGAATAAAACTTCTATAATATTTTTAAAAGCTAGGATACTTCATTGACACGTATCGGTTAAGTATCTAAGAGTATCGTATCGGATACGTATCAGATACGGATACGTGAAGCAAATTGAAGTATCCGTGCTTCATAGCTAACAGATCACAACAAAAAGACAGGTGGTAAAAAACAGAGAAAAGGAATTACTTCTCTAAAACAAGCTGGCCCAATTTCCTTTCCGCTTCAGTATTCAAGTCACCAAAAGGTTCAATTTCAATTCCAACATCCTGCAAAGCATAATCGTTACTAGATGCAAAACATGCATACTGTAAATTCCTACTATCCTATAGTTTTAGTGTTAGGTCAAGTCCTTTTCTGAGTATATTGGTCAAATTCAAATATGATTCAACAAGGCAATGAACTCCCAGGAGCATGTATCAGGAACAACAATAGACAGGAAGACCTCACCAACCAGATCATTGTCTGAAAAAGCTCTTTTAATAAAACCAATCAATCAAAAATGAACAAGCAAACCACCAATCTCACCTTTATTAGACCACAAGCTTATAATTTTTTTATGACAAACATGGAGACTGTGACAGAGACTCAAAAAGAAATCAGATTCTTCATATTGGGTATCAGTTGGCTCGTAATACACTATTAACCTATTGATCCAGATATGCCAGTATAAGTCCAGGAAAAAAAAAAAGACAAGGTAGTGGTTTTGTGGGACTAAGCATTGGGCGAGTTTGACTTTGGTGTTGTAGTATGGGTGTGGTGGCTATAAAAAATATGGTGCACTTTGTCCAAAAGATTATTAAATTTCATATCTTAATTAGCTTAATAAACAGTTTCATGTCTATGTTATTGTTTAGTGAATTTGCTGTGAAACCAGTTCAAATATGAAGAAAGAAAATTGATTATTAATGGAAAAATATATAGGTATTTCATGTGATATGTAAAGTTAGACTCTTTTGGGCCAACTTCTAGTGCAGCTCAAGCTATCAGAGATGATAGAGAGGCACTCCACCATACAAATTCTTTCCAGTTCTATTATTGAATCGCAAATTGCAGTGTTCTCTAGCCTAATTCTACAGATTAACTATTAGGATTTGTCTCCATGACATTTTACGCGATAAACATAAGATTATACGTGAGACAAAGCATATCATGTGGCTTTTCAATGTTAGTTAAAAACAAAAAACTCAAATGATAACAGTTTTTCTTATGTAATTGTGTTATCACTTCCACATTTTATTTCTGAGCATACTTCTTATAAAGGTAATTAGTTAATTAGTTAAGGTTAAAAAACCTAATACCTCAGCTTCCACTTTTTTTATCCACCACTTTAAAGTGAATTAGTTAAGAAATTTTAACATACCTTGAGCATCTGAATCCCTTCTTCATATGTAAGCCGCAATGTATTCCTCAGATACTGCACATTCACAGGGCTATTGTCACAGATCAGAAATAAGAACATGTAAATGTATTCATTTGCACCTCATATTACACACTGCATAATAAATCACCTAAACGCTATGCAGCTGATAGCATAACAAATTATACATATGATAATTACATAGAAACAAAATAACCACCTTTAAAGGTTCAAATGGGTATTGAGACCCCACAGCTTCCAGATCCTTCTTACAATGCTGGTTCAAACTGTCAAACATTGCGACAAATAATCTATCAACTATATCCATAACCTGCCAAAAACTCAAGTCATCAGTAAATCACTAATGTCCCTCAATAGTTTCAAATGCAAACATATAACATTTGCTTACAAGCCAAATATACCTCAAAATAATGCTTCTTAATCTCCATTTCAACATCAAGACCTGTAAACTCACACAGATGCCTGTGAGTGTAGGAATCTTCTGCTCTAAACACAGGACCAATCTCAAAAACACGCCCAAAATCTCCACATATTGACATCTGCTTGTGAAGCTGAGGTGACTGGGCCAGGCATGCAGGTTGACCTTTGTAGTCCAGTCTAAAAACAGCAGCTCCACCCTCACTCGATCCAGCAATCAACTTAGGAGTGTGGATTTCAACAAAACTTTCAGATAATAAGAATTGTCTGAACGCCTGCCCAACAGTGCAATTAAAAGTTAATCAAATCAAATGGTTCAGTATCAAACTGCAAATGCATTTCTTATGAGAATGTATCAGTAATCAGTATGCATTTATTTCAATAAACTTAAATTTGAACCAACTGCAACTGGTGCCAACCATGATTCTAAAAACAAATAAATAATTCTACAGAATAGCATCAGAAGTGGCATGCTTTACATTTGCAACATGAGACTGAATGCGGAAAATTCCTTGATTAGCTGGCGTTCGAACGTCAAGCACTCTAAAGTTCAAACGCGTATCCTGATTAACCCGAACAAGTTGCTCACCAGCCTGCACCCGCATTAACAAGCACATAAAGCGCAATCAAAATAATAACAACAAATTCCTCAAACAAAAGCGGAGACAAACAAACAGGATACATAAATCAAATAACCACCCAAACATCATTAATCAGAGTACCTGAAGAGCCTTCTCAATTTCAATCTCACTCCGAGCAGCATCCTCAAGATTTATTGGCAGAGTAGGTACAGCCCTACTGATACAGTACAACTTCCTCACTTGAATTTCCACCTACGAGAACAAGCCAAACCACACAATTAAACAATCACAAACTTCAAACTCAACCCCTAATCTTTAACCTACCAAACCTTAAAACAAACCATACAATATCATTCACTCAAAAAACACTATTCACCATTTTCAACTCTCACAGTATCTCCAATCGGCAACTCATTTAAAATAGAAACAAAATGCGTATCACCAAAATCTACATGACTGCATTGCATCAAAGAAGAACCATATCCTCCACCACAAATTCGACCGCAACATCAAGGTTTTGAGGTCTCCACGACTGCATTGCGACCACAATTGCAGCCACATTTGTCCACAATTCCATGCAACAACCTAATCACAAACTTCACGAACCCTAAAAACTGAACAAACCTGCTGCGTGGCGCCTTTGATAGGAGCGGCGGGGATCGAAACGACGCCTTCGACGTCGACGATTGACTCGCGGCTGAGCGCGGCGGCGAACTTCACCATCTGCGGGCTCACCGTATCAGGCTGCGCCTGCACCAAGCACTGCACCGTGAAGCCGTTCTCTCTTATCACCAAGAACGCCATCTTCTTCCCCACCGGCCGAATCGCCTGCGCCCTCCCTCGGATCAGCACCGTCCGGTTCTCCAGCGCGCCGCCGAGCGCCTCCACGCGCGTCCACTCGGCCACGTCCGCCGGCGCCTTCGACTGCAGCTCCACCAGCGGCACGTCCCCGTAGTTGCCGCCGAGGGGGTCGGCCTCGTCGACGGAGAGACCGGCGGTGGCGGCGGCGGCGGAGGCAATCTCCTGGCGGCGGCGGAGCTTGTCCTGCTTGGCGGCCTCCTTCTTGGCAGCCTTCTTGCTGAGCTGCGCCTCGGACGAAGCGGCAGCGTCTTGGGACTCCGAAGACGACATCGTTTTGGGAGTGTGGGTTTTGGGTTGTCTTGCTTTGGTAGAGTTGAGTGATTATAAAGTTGAGGAAATGAAGAACGAGAACAATATCGTAGGGTTGATTTTGTGCGATGAAAGGGAATGGTGAAAATGTATATATAGTACGAAATGGAAGGGTTCTGAATTCTAATCCAAATTGGATACTATACTAGACTTGGGGCAATTAGTTGACATTTGAAAATGGTAAAGCACATCCCATGGTATTGGCACTAGGGTTCTTGCAACTTGGAACACAAGTGGGAACTGTAGCCCTTCATTCTTTTTTTAAAAAGATTTCTTAGTGAATTATAAGGTCAAAGACCTAAAAATCAATTACTAATGCAAAATTAATTTTAGCGTTTAGATATGTTACTAAAATAATACTCAAATATTTTTTTCTCCATAATTTCGTAAACGTGTAATGTAGTTTCTCATAAGTTTTTATTATAAATTTGATTTATTAATTTTAAAAATTAAGCATTGTGCATCATTAATATATTTTTAAAATTAAAAATATTGATGAACTAATACATTATAAATTTTAATTGAGATAAAAAAATTATATCTTATTTGTGATAAATAAATATATAAATATATATATATATATATATATATATATATATATATATTATTGACTGTGTGGCTAAGTAATTATCAGATGGTGTATACATTGGTGTTTTTTTTTGTTTCGGATTATATGTCAATAGTCCAACATTACTTAATTTTAAAAATTAGAGATCATATTTATAATAAATTTTTTAAGGGAGACTAAAATAATACATTTGTAAAATTATAGAGATCAATATGTATATTTAAGCCTTAAAATAAACAAATGGTTGAGATTGGATTATTTTTTATAAAATTAAATATATTTTTAGTCTTTATAAAATGAACGGATCTTGATTTTAGTTTCTGTAAAATTTTTCTTTATTTTACATCTTTCTAAAATTTGTAAATATTATTTTTGATTCTTGTAAAATGAATAAATTTTAGTTTAGATTCCTGTGAAATATTTTCCTTTGATTTCTATTCTTTAAAATTCAAAATTATTATTTTTTATCTCTAATGACCATTTTAAGATATATATAACAATTATTTGAAGGATTTATACAATAGTTTAGAAGTGTCACATACAAATAAAATATCATAGACAATTGTTGACATCACCTAGGATGATCACATAACATTTTAATAAACATATAAGTAATTAAAAAAATCATATAGTGGTAGAATTAAAATAAAAGTTTCAAATTTTAAAGGAATAAAAAACAAATAAAAAGGTTTTATAGAAAATAAAATTAAAACATGCTTAATTTACATAAACTAAAAATATTTAAGTCTTTTTTGTATCATATTCATTCATTTATTTTAATGATATATCTAATAATTAAAATTAATATTACACTATTACATCTTTTATCATATTTTAATGACGAGAGATTTTCACTATTTACCTAACTCACTCAGATACAGTATTACATCTTTTACAATGTTTTTTCGTTATAATTATTATTTTGAATTTTGTATTTTTTCAATAAATATAATAATTTAAAAAGTTTACAATTGAAGAGAGTACAAAACTTAGTTATAGTTTATTATATGTAGTTAGAGTTGCTCTCCAATAAGAATTAGAGTTTATCTCAGTAATATCTATAAATGTACATTAAAAAAAATATTTTGACTGTTTTTTTCTTCATACCCATGTCGTAAATCAATTAATGATATATAGTATGTTTGGTTTAATTTTAACAAAATTAATTCCAAAATTTACGTTAATAATGAAATAACAAATTGATTTATAGTAATTTGACAATTATTTTCATTTCTTTTTGTCGTATGTTTGGTGGCTTCAACACCAAACCTAACACACTCAAGACATTCACAATGTGGAAGTTTATGTGTTATATCATATGGTGGCTGACTAGGTCGAATATCCGAATTCGTGGTCGACTAGGTCGAATACCCGAGTTCGTGGCCGACTAGGCCGAATATCCGAGTCCGTGGACGACCAGGTCGAATACCCGAGTTCACCGACCACTCACAATTTGAACGGAACGTGTCGGTGTGCTCGGCCAAGTCACGGATTTACGCCAGGATAATTATGGAGAGGATAATTTATGTAATGCACCGGATTAGCCCCCTAATTTCCCGGGGCCCAGTCCTTAATCGCGGCCCAATAAGAATCACTATAAATAGGACCCCAGTGAGGTACGTAACTAACTTTCAACTACCGCATTTATTACGTCGAGCACTTACTTGAGCGTTGGAGTGTCTTTGCAGGCACCCCCCTCACTTCGGACTGCTCGGAGAGGAACAAGAAGACCGAGACCCAGGATCAGACCCGCTACAACAAGGATAATTGAAGTGTGTATCCTAACACAGGAACATTTGGCGCCCACCGTGGGGCCGAAGAGACGTTTTCAGCCCCTTTTAACTCTACAACTGAGACCGAGATATGGTAGTAACACGCAAAGGACCATCGACATCGACTCAACCAATCCCCAACCCCGAGAACAATCTCGTCATGACCGGCCAAGAACGATACCCATATGGAATGCCTTAGACACAACCGGAGCCTGTGATACAAGAGGTCCGGCCGAATGTCGACGGAGCCCAATCCATGATGACTTGCGCGCATTGCGCGAGGAAATGGCAGCCTTCCGAAGACAGAGAGAAGTCGATGCTAGGGAGTTGGCCGAACTGCGCCGACAAAACGCCGAGCTCTGAAGTCTGAACCAAACCTACGTGCCATCAACTCCCACACTCCTAGAGGAGTCGGCCTATCATGCCCCCACCGACCATGTAACCCGAACACCGGTTACTTCTTTGATTGGTGGCAAGATCGACACCACCACCCACTGGTTGAGACACCCCTTCTCCCGAAGGATAATGGAGGCAACCCTGTTAGACCATTGGAAGAGCATGCCGATCGAGAACTATGACGGGTCCACCGACCCCGAGGAGCACTTGAACGTTTTGCTGACACAAGCGACCCTCTCTACTCAAGATGACTCGGCCTTGTGCCGGATATTCCCCACATCGTTGAAAGGGAGGGCTCTAAGCTAGTTAACGTGATTGCCGAGCGCTTCCACTGTCTCGTTTAGCGAGCTGTCGTCCCAATTCGCTCTTCAGTTCGCGACGAGCAAACCGTACAGGACGACCTCACTAGCATTGGCGGGGGTTTGTCAGGAGAAGAAGGAAATTTTGAGAAGCTTCATGGACCGATTCAACAAGATCGCCATGGAGATCGGAGACCTTAACCCAGCCGTGGCAATGGATCGGCCGAGCACTGCCCTCAGGCTGGGGCCATTTGTGAATAGCTTGTGTAAGAAACCGCCCGGTGATATGAACAATCTCCAACGCCGAGCCGAGAAGTACATGCAAATGGAAGAATTGGCGGAGACTAGAAATCAGGCCAGTGCCGAGGAGGGATATGGACGAAAAGAACCGGGTCGAGATCCGATGAGAAAGGCGAATGCGAGCCCTCAAATGCTCGTCCCCCGAGAGGACCACGTTACACAATGTATACAAGACATTTTTAAATATTTGTCATGTCGTTCCTTATTTTAATATATATATATATACGTTTAGGTCGCGCTCATGCAGGTCCAATCTCGAATAACGCACACGCCGACGCCGAGCAATCCTCGGCTGATCACTCAAAAAGTGCACTTGAGCCCGACAAGTTTCCCTCCCGAGTAACCTCCTCGGTTAAGGATGTACCTAGGCCGAGCATTACGCACATACGCTAACGTCAAGCAATCCTCGATCGATCACTCAAAAAGTGCGCTCGAGCCCGACAGGTTTCCCTCCCGAGTACCTCCTCGGCTAAGGATGTACCTAGGCCGAGCATTACGCACATATGTCGATGCCTAGCAATACTCGGCTGATCACTCAAAAAGTGCGCTCGAGCCTGACAGGTTTCCCTCCCGAGTATCCTCCTCGGCTAAGGATGTACCTAGGCCGAGCATTACACACATACGCCGACGCCAAGCAATCCTCGGTCTCGCAGATCAAATACACTTCGCGTATCAAATCGCATGATCCGACTCCGAGGCCGAGCACGCTTCGGCCGAACACTCTCAAGCCGAGCACTCTCGCAAATTAAATACATCGCGTATCAAATCGCGTGATTCGACTCCGAGGCTGAGCACGCTTCAGCCAAACACGCTCAAGCCGAGCACTCTCGCGGATCAAATACATCGCGTATCAAATCGCATGATCCGACTCCGAGGGCCGAGCACGCTTCGGCCGAGCACTCTCGCAAATTAAATACATCGCGTATCAAATCGCGTGATTCGACTCCGAGGCTGAGCACGCTTCAGCCAAACACGCTCAAGCCGAGCACTCTCGCGAATCAAATACACTGCGTATCAAATCACGTGATCTGACTCCGAGGCCGAGCACGCTTCGGTCGAACACTCTCAAGCGGAGCACTCTCGCGGATCAAATACACTTCGGGTATCAAATCGCACGATCTGACTCCGAGGCCGAGCATGCTTCAGCCGAACACTCTCGCGGATCAAATACATCGCGTATCAAATCGCATGATCCGACTCCGAGGCCGAGCACGCCTAGGCGAAGCACTCCTGAGTCGAACTCACACCAAGCATTAATTCGCGACAAACATGAATTTAACCCCCCTTTGGCCGAGCATACCATTCGATTGTGTTTATATTACTAGGCATTAATGAATATGGCAAAAATTGGAAAGTAAAATATTTCATTAAAGTATGGCCGATCAGTACGGCTACTTACACAAAAAATCATCTTTGTCCACGACGCCAATGACCGATCACAAAAGGCACTAATGGCCTGATTACAAGCAAGCAAAAAATCCTAACCCTAACCTACTACCACCAGAGTCAACCTCTTACACCGCGGCCGAGTCCTCCGGATTCCCATCGTCGACCACATCAATGATCGGCTCCTCCTCCCTTGCCGGTGGGTCCTCTTCGTCCGGCTGGGAACTCGGCGTAACTTATGAACTTTCCACCATAGAAATCCCGACTAACATAAAAATTGAAGTCAGCCGGGACCTCACAAAAGTAGAAGGCCTGTCGCATAGCATGTTGGAAGCCGACATCGTGCTAGTCGAGAATTTTCTCAGTGGCCTCGGCTTCGAACTTGGTAGCGGCCTCATTTAGCCGAGCAATCTTGGCAGTTGCAGCAGTGGCCTCGGCTTTCATTTTCTGGACCGTCAACTTCAAGTCGTCGG